CCTGTTGCTCATTCCCAGCTTCTGGCAAATAGAGGCTAGGGACACCATCCCTGCCCATCCTGGCTAATATTCATTGATGTACCTATCCTCCATGAATTTATCTAGTTCTTTTTTTTAAGGCCAATGTCTGCACTACAAACTTTGGTCAATGCAAGTTACATGAGAATGGCGATACGGGGTCAGACCAATGGTCCATCTAGCCTAGTATGCTGTCTTCTGACAATGGCCAATGCCAGAAGCTTCTGAGAGAATGAACAGAACAGGGCAATTATTGAGTGATCCATCCCCTGTCATCCAGTCACAGCATCTGGTAGTCAAGAGACTTATGGAGACCCAGAGCATGGGGTTGCATCTCTGACCAGCGTGGCTAATAACCATCGAGGGACCTATATTCCATTAATTTATCTCACTGTTTACACCTTTTTCCTGATTATTTATGAATATGTTGAACAGTACTAGTCCCAGTACAGATCCCCAGGGGACCTTACTATTTACCTCTCTCCACTGTGAAAACTGACCATTTATTCCTATCCTTTGTTTGCTGTCTTTTAACCAATTACTGATCCATAAGAAGGTATTCCCTCTTATCCCATAACTGCTTACTTTGCTTAAGAGCCTTTGGTGAGAGACCTTGTCAAAGGTTTTACAAAAGCTGTGTTGACTCCTCCCCAACAAATCATGTTCATCTATGGGTCTCATAATCTCTTCTTTACTATTTGCCTGGTACTGAGGTTAGGCTTACTTATCCTGTAATTGCCAGAATCACCTCTGGAGCTTTTTTAAAAAATTGGTGTTACATTAGCTATCCTCTAATCATCTAGTACAGAGACTGATCTAAGGGCTTGTCTACACTGGCAAGTTTCTGCACAGTAAAGCAACTCTTTGCGCTCAAACTGCAGATGTGTACACCCTGCCAAGCCACTTTGTGCGCAGAAACTCCTCAGTTGCAGTGCTGGAAAAAAACCACCTCGATGAGAGTCATAAGACTATTTGCGCAGAGGCTTCAGCGCTCTATTGCCAGCGTAGACACTTGATTGCTTTCTGCGCTGTAATTGGCCTCTGGAGCAGTCCCATAATGCCTCAAGTGACTGCTCTGCTCATTGTTTTGAACTCGGCTGCCCTGGAGACATGCGCCCCTCCCTTTTCAGAGCACCGTTTGTGACAGCCATTGCGTGCTGTGCTGATTTGGAATGCTCGTGCTGTTGAACACGGTGGCAGGTGTGTGTGTGTGTGTGAGAGAGAGACAGAGAGAGTGCTGTGTAGAGAGCCCAGGGAACGAGGCATGGGTTGATGTTGCAGTTTCCCCCTCCCCCGCCTCAGGACTGGTTTCATCCTGCTGCTGTCTGAACTTATAAGACAGCATGCTGACACACTCTCTGTCCCCTAAAACACACTGTCTCTCTCCCCCACTCCATACACACACACACATACACTCATTCCCTGTCACACATTCTCCCTCCCCCTCCCCACTTCAGTTGACATGCAGCTGGCAATGTAGTAGGATGCTCATGGAACAATGGAATTGGGAAACCTGCATCATGTGACGCTGTGCCTGTCCCATGAGGCATTGCAAACCCTTCCCAAAGCACCCTGTGGCCAGTTGCACAGTGGGATAGCTACGACAATGCACTGCTGTCTTTGCTGTTGCAAGAGCTGCTAATGTGGATGCGCTCCAGCGTCACAAGGAACACAATGTGGACGCACAACAGTGATTTAAATTCCAGTGTTTTAATAAAAATGGTATAACTTGTGGTGCAGAAACTTGACATACCCTAAGTGATAAGTTACATACCAGTTAGTAATTCTGCAGTTTCACATTTGAGTTCCTTCAGCACTCTTGGGTGAATACTGGCTGGTCCTGGCAGTTTGACTGTTTAATTTATCAATTTATTCCAAAACCTCTTCTATCAACACCTCAGTTTGGGACAGATTTGTCACCTATAGAGAATGGCTCAGGTGTGGGACTCTCCCTCACATCCTCTGCAGTGAAGACTAATATAAAGAATTCATTTAGCTTCTCAGCAAAGGCATGGTCTTCATGAGTGTTCCGTTAGCACAGTGATCGCTCAGGGGCCCCACTGGTTGTTTAGCAGGCTCTCTGTTTCTGAGAAACTTAAAAATTTTCTTGCTGTTAGTTTTTTTTTGTCTTTTGCTATTCAAATTCTTTTTTGGCCTGCCTTATTAGTAGGGCAGGTCTACACTGTAAATGCCACTGTTGTACTTTGAACAGAAGATACTGAAAATGATGGGCGAGAGCTCTCCTGGCAGCTTAGTTACTTCACCTCTGCAAGAAGGGACGGCTATTGTGACGTTGCACTCTATATGATTTTATGAAAGTATGCTGATGAGTGTGAATATAATGTAACTAAAATATGCTTCATGCAAAAGGTCTCTTGTAAGGTATCATTACAAAGCTTATAATCTACTGAGTGTGGTCATCCTATTTGTATAAATGTATCACTCTTGTATCTGAAACTAGAAATATGAAATATAACTCTGAGGGCCTATTGTAATTAGGCAAAGTATGGGTCATTTAATGCTGGTTTGGAATCTCGATGGCTTCCATCAACCAGGACAATTGACTATGGATGGCTCTGTTTGCAGGCAGGCCTTCCTGTGAGTCAGGCTGGGAGGAATGAAGGCTTGGGGTCTTACAGTGACATGTGATCATGTCACCTGAACTGGAATCCATCTTTAACCTGGTGTTTTTCCATTGAGAAGGAGGGGTGGGAACCCAGAGGGACAAAGGATTCCTGCCTTATGCAAAGATATATAAATGGGTGGAACAGAACAAAAGGGGCAGCCATCATGAGAAATCCCCTAGCTACCACCTGAGCTGGAACAAGGGCTGTACCAGGGGAAAGGCTTGTGCCCAGATTAGGAAGCCGTCCAACTTGTGAAAGAAATTTACTGAAACATCTCTGAGGGTGAGATTTTATCTGTATTCAGTTTTATTACTGTACTAGGCTTAGACGTGCATGTTTTATTTTATGTTGCTTGGTAATTCACTTTGTTCCGTCTGTCACTACTTGGAACCACTTAAATCCTACTTTCCTTATTTAATAAAATCATGTTTTACTTATTAATCCAGAATATGTATTAATACTTGGTGGGGGGGCAGGGGAGGCGCAAACAGTTGTGCACATTATCTCTCTATCAGTGTTATAGAGGGCGAACAATTTATGAGTTTACCCTGTATAAGGTTTATACAGGGTAAAACAGATTTATTTGGGGTTTGGACCCCATTAGGAATTGGGCATCTGAAAAGATGGGAGCACTTCTTAAATTGCTTTCAGTTAAGTCTGCAGCTTTGGGGCATGTAGTTCAGACCCTAGGTCTGTGTTGGAGCAGACTGGCATGTTTGGCTCAGCAAGCCAGGGTGCTGGAGTCTCAAGCTGGCACGGAAAGCAGGGAGAAGTAGTCATGGCACATCAGTTGGGAGCCCCAAGGGGGTTTCTGTGATTCAACCGGTCACAGCTATGTCAGCAGCCGTAGCTCTCCCGCCATCATAGCATTGTCTACACGGGGGGGTTAAGGTCGGTATAACTACGTTCCTCAGGATGCGGATTTTTCATACCCCTGAGCAATGTAATTATACCGAAGTGTGTAATGTCACTTGATTGCCAGAGCTTATGCTTCTTTCTATTTTCATGAGTAGAATTTGACTTCCAATTTTTAAAGAATGCCTTTTTGCCTTTAGCTGATGCTTTTACTGTGCTGCTTAGCCATCATGACATTTTTTTAATCTTCTATTTTTTTTATTTGGATTACACATTTCATTTGAGCCTCTACTATGATTTTTTAAAAAAGTTTCCATGCAGCTTGTAGGCATTTCACTCTTGTGACTGTTCCTTTTAATTTCTGTTTAACCAGCCTCCTCATTTTTATGTAGTTGCCCTTTTTGAAGTTAACTGCTATTGGGCTGACTTCTCTAGTACTCCCCTACTCCCAGGGATGTTCAATTTAATTACATCATGGTCACTACTACCAAGCAGTTTGGCTACGTTCACCTCTTGGACCAGATCCTAGGCACCACTTAGGACTAAATCAAAAAGCACCGCCATGGGTTTCAGGACTATCTACTCCAAGAAGCAATCATTATGTTACATTGGGGTACAGCTGCTGAAGATAGTCTATTGCTCCGGTGTGTGCATACTTGGCTGCTTGAACCAGTGCTGTCTAGTGTATTGACAATTACATTTTGTGGCAGCACATGGTTTACACCATAGTGTTTTGGGGCTGATATTTCCCCTCCAGCCCCATCCAGCTCTGTGGTGCCATGGTTCACCTCAGACTGCTTCAGCAGGGCTCTGGAGACAGAGTCCTTCGGTATCAGGTGATGCAAATACACACAAAATATCAAAACCCCTACCGAGGTGCCCAAGCCAGCTAGAGTTGCCAGGTGTCCAGTTTTGGACTGGAACACCCAGTTGAAAAGGGACCCTGGCGGCTCGGTCAGCACTGCTGACTGGGCCATTAAAAGTCCAGTTGGCAGTGCAGCAGGACTGGCAAGCACCCTGCCCGCCTCCTGGGAAGCAGTGACATGTCCCTCCAGCTCCTAGGGGGAGGGGCAGCCCCGGGGTCTCCATGCACTGCCCCTGCCCCGAGTACCAGATTCACAGCTCCCATGGGCTGGGAACCCCTTGACCCCATCCCGGAGCCCCTTCCTGCACTCCAAACCCTTCATTCCCAGCCCCACCCCAGAGCCCTCACCCTGTCCAACACCCTAACTCCCTGCCTCAGCCTGGCACCCCCCTCGCACCGCCCAAAGACCCCACCTCCAACATGGCGTCGCAGCGGCTTCCCTCCGAAGCCAGCTCCCCGCAGAGTCACATACCCTAGTTAGCACGTTCGTGCCCGTACACAACATGGCAGCCACTAGCTTCAGCTCACGTTATCACGTGACCGCCGGAGGCCCGCCGTCCCCCCTTTGGGAAGATGGGGGCGGTTCGCCGAAAGGCCCGGCCCCTGTCAGGTGACCGCCGGCTGGTGTGGTCTCGTGACAACGGCGGGCGGGTGGCTGGAGTTAGAGTTGATGTAGGAACGGGACGGCTGCTATGGACGCTGCTGGAGGGAGGCGTGGAGGGTGCCCGGGCTCCCCTCGCCGGGCTGGGGCTCTGCTGTGGGGCTGGGCCCTGCTGGGCTGCGCCTGGTGCCCTCGCCCCCCCGGGGGCCGCTGCCGCCCCTTTCCCAGCCGGCTACGCGCTGGACGATTCGGTCGGGCTGGGCCGTGAGTTCGACGGCATCGGGGCCGTGAGCGGCGGAGGGGTGAGCGGGCGTGGGCAGCGGTGTGGGTGGGGTGGGTGGAGCGGGAATAGGGGGTCAGTGGTGGGCTGGAGGGGCGAGAGGGATGGGGTAGAGGTGGGTGTAGGGGCTGGCGGGAGGGAACGGGGGCTGGAGAGAGATCAGACCCTTCGGCAAGTTTCTGGGTGGCCACCCCCGCATTGGGTTGTGCTTTTTGTGTGGGCTGAAGAGGACTGCCCTGAAGTGACCGTCTCTTGTGCTGTCTGTGCATGTGGCCTGCCCCTCGGATTTGTAATGCAGAGTGAAGGGCTTCACCTTAAGGAAAACAAGAGAAATAATGGTGCAGGGAAATTCAGAAGAGTGAGAGTGTGTCCATGTGTGATGATGCATTGAGGGGAATGGGGTGGAGGTATTGTTGCCTGTCAAATTCAGGTGCTAAAAAGCATGGCACCAAGTTAGTGTTGGAGGGAGACAGGATGTTCCCTAAATGTAAGTTGGAGGTCCTGGCTGTGAGTAGAATTTGAGGTTGAGGAATGGTGTGGGAGAGTGCTGCTTGTTCTCCTTTCGCCTCCTGCGAAAAAGATGTGCGGTGTGTGTGTGTTGTGGTCTTTTTCCAGTTAGGATGATAGGAGATTCTAAAGGACAAATGAATCTGGTATAACTCCATTGAAATCCTGCGATTAATTTTACCCTTGACCTACATTTTAAAGACTTCTCTCTATTGTTTTTCAAATATTTAAACCACCAAATGACCAGTAAGTTTCCAGGGACCTCTTCCAGTCCAATGATAAGTGTCATGAGCTCCATTCAAGCTCTACTGTGATAGGTAATTAGCACCTCTCACGAAAGCTCATGCTCAAATAAATTGGTTAGTCTCTAAGGTGCCACAAGTACTCCTTTTCTTTTTTCACCTCTCTGGAGTTAGCTTGGAAATTAAGGGTATGTCTACACTTACCATTTAAAGCACAAAAAGTCCCTTTTTTGCCCTAAAACCGAGGGAGTGTCTACACTTGTTAATGACTTTTTGTGGTGAAACTCAGAAGTTTCGCTGCAAAAAGAAAACCACCTTCCTGAGAGGCATACAGCTCTTACTGCTGTTCTTTTTGCACTGCTGTGAAAGTGAAGACTCCTTCTAGCAGTGTAAACACCCTTTGGCCTCTGGAGGATATCCCACAGTTCCAAAAGCGACCACTTCTGGCCAGCATCTCCGCTGTTCTGACACATGGATGTCCACCCCTCCCCTTGTAAGCCCCAGAAAGTTTGAAGCTCCCATTCCCTTAAGCAGCCAGACAGCAGGAGGTTTTTAAAAAAATGCCTGGAAGAAACCAGGAAGTAATGGGGCTCCTGAGACATGAAGCAGGGCAGCACAGGGCACTGAGCAGGGACCCTGAATGCCTTCTGCTCACTCCCCCACCCTTCCCACAAGACCTATCCAGAGAGCTGCCCTGTGGGGATAGCTGCCCTGCTCTCATCCTTGATGGAAGTGCTGCTAGTGTAAACACTCTCCGACGCCTGAGGAATTGAGTGAGTACACAGACCAGCACTTTAAGTCTCACTGGTGATAGGGAACCGGTAAAAGTACAGTGCAAAAACTCTGTAAATGTAGACATATCCCTAGTCTGACTTGGGTTTAGGAGGAAGAAAAGCAGGGAAAACTTTTAGTTTTCATTTGTTAATGTCTTTCTCCTATAAGACAGTAAATTTTGTGTCTTAAAGGGGTGTTGAATTTTTGTGGGTATCTGGTTGGCTGAGTTCTTGCTGACACGATTCCTTAGTTCTTGGTGGGATTTGACTATGCTATTAATTATATTAGGTTGGCTAGAGCCTTAGATAGGAGGCTCTTAACTATTTAAAATCCAGATAAATAATACAAAATAACTCTGTATATGCTCTTTTCCCTTTGTTCTTTTCTTTTTCAGGCCACCTCTCGACTTCTGGTGAATTACCCAGAGCCTTATCGCTCTCAGATTTTAGATTATCTGTTTATGGTAATATCTGTCTTACTGATATAGAACTATCTCTAACCTCCTGTAGAGTTTTAATGTGTACTCTTATTTTTAATGGCAGATCTCTAAAATGCATTAGATACTGGTTAAAAAAATACAAAAACCCCTTATTTTCTGAAGTATTATAGCAGGGATCAGCAATGTTTGGCACGTGGTCTGCCAGGGTAAGCCCCCTGGCGGGCCAGGCCTGTTTATTTACCTGCCGCATCCGCAGGTTTGGCTGATCGCAGCTCCCACTGGCTGCGGTTCACTGCTCCAGGCCAGTGGGGGCTGCGGGAAGTGGTACAGGCCAAGGACACGGCAGGTAAACAAACCAGCCCAGCCCGCCAGGGGGCTTACCCTGATGGGCCGCGTGCCAAATGTTGCCGATCCCTGTGTTAGTGGGAGAGCTTAAATAAAGTCATGCTGTTAATAATTATGGTGATACTTAGGGCCAGATTTTTAAAGGTACTTACATACCTAGATGCTTTTGAAAATCCTACTGGGCACCTAAATGCCTCTAAAAATCTGGCCTGTAAGCATTATACAAAGATTAACTAGTGCTAATTTATTAATTGACCTATAACTGTGATTGCAAACAATATTTTATTGTCTTCTAGCTGATAAGTAGGGCTTCTGATGTTTGTTTTTTAATTGATAAACATTCCCGATGTAAAAATATGAAATAAGTGTTCATCCAATCAACTCCAGAAATGGTTATTTGTATCTAAGTACTTGTCTACACAGAGAAATAATGCAGACTGTGGGCCTGTGATTTCTAAAGCATGCTAATGTGCTGCATGTTAATTGGTACATATAGAATCTGCTGGTGTGTACTAAAGGCTTCCTATTTAACTTTACCATAGTGCTGTTTGAAACAGTCTGATGTGAAAGTGCACTTGGGAACATTACAAAAAATTACTCATTACAGTATATCCAAAGAGAGAGTCCCTTCTATCCCCCACCCCCGGGATTTTTGGACATCTATGTAGACTGCAAAAATTGCTAAAAGTAACCACCCCTCAAAAATAAAATTAATAAACAGAATTCTTACTGATGATTGATATAGGGAAATCTGTATTCTAATTCTGGCTCTGTCATTGACTGACTTGATTTAACTTTGGGCAAGTCACTTAGGTCCTGACCCAGCAAACATGTGTGCGCTTGTTTCTATGCACGTAAATAGTCTTGTTGACTGCAAAGGAACTACTTGTGTGTAAAGTTAAGCATGTTCATTAGTGTTTGCAGGATTGGGATCTTAACTTCAATTAGACCAACTGTCTCTATGTGTAAAACAGTGAATACTGGCCCAGTTCTGCAGCATGCTTTGCAATCCTGTCTAAATACAAGATATTATGGTTAAGGCTAATATTTTGTCATAGTAAAAGTCAGACAGGTCACGGCTTCTGTGAATTTTTGTTTATCGCCCGTGACCTGTCTGTGACTTTTGTTGCTGCAGCTCCATGGTTCCCCTACCAATGTGGTGGCTGGGAGCTGTGGGGTTCCCCTTTTGCCTACGGCACCTGGGAGCTGCAGGGTGACCATATTTCCCAAAGAGAAAATGGGACACCCCAGCCCACTCATCCAAGGCATCCCCTTTGTCCCCCACCCCATGTGAGGCTGTCGCCTGTCACTGGAACCCTGAGGAGGTCCCCCCCTGGAGTCTGTCACCTGTGGCTGGAACTTTGCCCAGGCCCCTTGTCCCTGCTAGAACCTTGCCAGGGCCTCCCTAGCTGTCAGCTCCAGACTCCTGCAGTCCCTGGGGTTGAAACAGAGAATGTCAAGGAGGTCTCAGGAAGTCACGGATTCCGTGACTTCCATGACCTCTGTGACATAAATGAAGCCTTAATTATGGTTAGTAATACAGTAACTTGAAGGTATGTCCTGTTTGTGTGGTGATAACTGTTTCTGGAACCTAAATTCTGAGGCTGAACAATCAAGTCTTGTTACTCCAAGGTGTAGTAGCTGCCAAGAGTAAACACCCTTGTTAAGTTAAGAGGAAACAACTAATTATACTGAAATGACTAAACAATTTGAGGGTATTTCCTCTTGGTAATAACCCTAATGTAGGTTAATCAACATCTTGTTGTTTCTGTTGGGAGTTTATTTAATTTTGGAAATAGCGATTACTGAGATTCCCCCTTATTGCTATTCTGAAATAGCTAATGATTAAATATTTTGGGATATTGAGCTAGAATTAGAAGGTTTTTTTTTCTAGTTTAAAGGTGGATAAAGTGAAGGGTTGAGGTGATCATATCTATTGTGGGTAGTAAATCCTGAAGGCAATATTGAATCAGAGTGCAAAATACTTCATGACTTCTGAAAATTACTATACATTTTAGTTGGCAATTGCAGAGTATCCTTGCTCTCTAGCTTGCTAAAATTGTTCCATTTTAATAGAGTTAATATCCTAAGGTTTGCCTAGGATTCAAGTCTACTTAGGTAAGGTTCTGAATTCTTTAGATCAACCAGTAAAACACTTTTATACCTCTAAAGTTATCCATTTAGAGACCTGTACCACTTAAACTATATCAATGTCTGCACTGATATAGTTACAGCAGTACCAAAGCTGTACAGACAGGCCCTAAATGCCGTGTAGGAGTAGTTGTTGCTCAATAATAACTTGAGCTGTGTCCTGAGAGGGCAACATACCACTTTCAAATAGCTGTTCCCTTGGCTTCAGCCCTGTAGAGCATAGTTTCTGTGTTAGAGAGAGAGAAGTAGCCATGGAGGTTTTTGATGGGAAGTGGGGAAGAGACATGATGTAGCTGCCTTTGCCTTCTGTGCACTCAGTCATCTGGAAGATGGTCTTTTTGGCCCTTTTTACACTGGTTATGGGAATGTAGCATACGACCTCTTATATGTAGAAGTTACTTTACCCTCTACAGAAGTTAATCAGTTATGGTTCTGAATTGTTGAGATAAGAGCACCTTTATACTCCTAAAACTGTCCATTTAGAAGGCTGTACTGCTTTAACTATATCAGTGTCTAAATCGATGTAATTACATCCGTACCAACCCTCAAACTTGTAAACCTTTTTAGTTTTTAGAAGGAATATGGTCATTTTGAAATCTAGTCAACTTAAAATAGTATTGTCCTACATCAGCCTCTGGACTGCCGTACAAATTTTTTGGCTTTACCTTGACCTCTTCCTATTTTGTTAACTTTGTTGTGCTAAAGATTCATGCAAACAGGGAAACATACTAATAGCTACAGGAGAGACAGTGAAACTGATGAGAAACCAAGTACTCTTAATTGCACAAAATAAATAAACTGGAAAAAGCGGAATAGCTTTTCCCTCTAATCTTTCAGTTGCATTAACCGTAGGTGATTGTAATAATAATGGGTAAAATATTCAGATAGAAATGTGATGAAGTTGATGGTGATGCACTTTTTAGTTGGACATTCTTCTGCTTATATTGTGTATTCATTGATATTTTTTCTCCTTTTTTAAAGCCAAATTTTGGTGCCTCTTTGCATATTCTCAAAGTAGAGATTGGTGGTGATGGACAGTCAACAGGTATAAATTCTTGGGGGACTGGGCTTACTGTTTTTATGCAGATCATTCTTCACTTCAAATGGTGTGGCGATGCAGTAGATGAAATACTACCAGTTTAGCGATAAACATTGTGATGAACATTTCACCTCATTTGAAATAGCAAAACTCTCTGTGATACACTTGGAACTGCACTACCATGTCTAAAAATGTTTTCTGCTAGCAGGGTTCTAGCACCATTTCTCGAATTGGTGTGGGAAGGGTCTTCTTTTACATGAGAACTGTGGTACAGACTGTTACTTAGTGTGGTGTATTCTAGAAGAAAATAATACCTGTTCCCAATGGACAGGGAAATTGTGCCAGTGAGATGTATCGTAGGGTTCCAGCCATAATATTGAATAGCTTTAGTGTTTCTCAAGTGTCAGCTCTGCTGTGTGAACTAGATATAAACCTTACTTAGAACAAGATAGTTCTTTGTTCTGCTGCCTTATTTGAAGTCACGCTTGCCTATATCACAGAAAATGATTTTCTTAAAGATGAGCTGTGTGTTAATTGGGTTTGATTGTTATGAGTGTTATCTGTCTTAATGCTCCATTTTCAGACTTTTTGATAGCTCTGGTGAGGTGTGCAAGTGCGACTATTACTGACTAGATTTTGAGCATTAAACATTAATACTCTGGCCCCTACAGTCCTGGAAGTCTAGAAGTCCACTTTTTTGACAGGAAGAATATTATTTTAAGTACAGGAATTCATTGGTGTTCAACAGAGATTTAGTCAGTACGTTGCTGTCAGAAAAAGTGGACTCATGGGTGTCCACAGACATATATAGCTCTTCATCTTGAAAATACTGTACTAATATTATTTAGTCATAATAAGTAGGTAAGTAGTGTCTTGGTTTTCAGATGAGGAAACTGAGGTACAGAGATGAAGGGACTTGCCCTTGGCCTTGGTCTGTGTCAGAGCCAGGATTGGAACTCGGGAGTTCTTGGCTCACAGTCCTGTATGTGCTTGCATACTCAGTCTATGTCTAATACACACATCACTGTAGTTTCTGGGCATCCTCTAAAAAATATTTGCCATTATCCCTCTAATGGGGAGAACTATCCTCCCCATCACAGCCACAATTTTAAAGTGTTCAAATCCTAATGGTTTGCTGATTATCTGACTTGCATGTGCAGTGGTGTTCAATGTGTAACTGCACAAAACTTGTGTTTATCTTTTGCTAAAACAATTGAATATTATGTGGTGAATCCCAAAACTACTTCCAGCAGTAGAGAAACCCCACAGTAATACTAGTCCAAATCTTATATGAAAGGGAGCTTTTCATTATTTTATCATCGTGTAGTTTTAACTGAACTCTTGGTTTCATAACAAGTTTCCTCGTTTTCCCTCCCTTTGTGTTTCTCTTGCCGTCAAGAATTAAACATGCAGTAGTCTGTGCCATGCTGTCTGTTGTTTATCAGTTCAGAGTCCTTGCATGATGGTGGAAATATTTCTTTCCCCTCCTGATACTGCTGTGGTGAAAAATGTTCATGCAGTGATTCCTTGGCCCAAAATAATATTGAAGGTAGACTTAGCATCACAGTAATTGGGGATGTAAAAGATCTACTAGATAATTAGATTAATCCTTTGGCAAGGATAAGGTATAGTCCCTTTGACAGAAAACATATTTTCATATTAATGTTAAACGGATACTGTACTTGATCATGGTCAAGAGACATAGGCTGTCTACACTTATGGTGGCAAGTAGAATACAGACACTGCACATCCAGCTAGCATGGATATAAATAGCAGTGTAGACAGTGAACTGCAGCTTTGTAGAGTATTGCTTTACACAACTGAACCCACAGGGTATACAGTCTACACGCTCAAGCTCTGCTTCCCAAATCAACACTACTGTTTTCAGCAGTGTAGTGTCTTGCTGCCTCCACGGTGGCTGAGCCTTTCCCTGTCACAGTTAGTCTCTGACAGGGGAAAATTGTGGGGAAAGGATATGGGAGCTCCCCCGTGCTGGAGCATTTTCTCACTTCAGTGAAAGGTTCTGGCAGCAGTTAGCTCCCAGAGTCTTTCCCTGCTGCTGGAGCATTTTGCTGCCATGTGTAGCTACACGCCACAGTGACAAGTGTGGACATAGCCTGCCTTTCACTGTGGCGTGTAGCCACGTGTGTAGTGCTTATATTCTACATGCAACTCTAAGTATAGACAGCCTAACGTCTGCACTGTAATCAGAGGAGTAATTGCAACATGTACAAACGTACTTGATTAGCTTTAACTTAGCTAGCATAAGTACCAATAGCAGTGCAACTGCAGCAGCGTAGGCTGTAGAAGCCAACCCAGGACTCTTGGTACGTACTTAGGCAGCTAGCCCATGCTGCCTGTGGCTTCACTGCTGTCAGTACTCGCACTAAATAGATTAAAGCTAGCGCGGGTATGTCTACATGTGCTGCAATCACACCTCCACTTGCAGAGGTGATGTACTCTTAGAGGGAGGGATGGCTAGTCTTTCATGTTGGCTTCCATTGCTCACTTGGCTTTCAAATTTACTTCAAAGAATGCATGAACTGTGCTTGCGGTATGTGCCTAGATATTATGGTGATGAGCAATATAAAAAAACCCTCTAAGATACATAGGAATTTGTCATGACACAGAAAACAATTTGTGAGATATCTTTGTTGTTTCCTCTGTAGATGGTACTGAACCCTCCCACATGCACTATGAAAATGATGAGAATTATTTCCGGGGCTATGAGTGGTGGCTAATGAAAGAAGCTAAAAAGAGAAACCCCAACATTAAATTGATTGGTAAGGACTTGTTCTGTCTTCCTGTTTTCAAACACTATTTCATACCTGACTCATTCTTAATTGGCTCCTTAGCTTTAATGAAGCAAAGTATTCTTTGTCACATTAGCCAGTGTACAGTCAGAGTTTAGCCAATTTGCCTTACCTCTCCTTGTAAAGAATATTATTGTGTGAATTTTTTAAGGTTTTATTGTGACAATGCCTTGTGTTTGGTGGGTTTTCCCCCCACAGTGCTGGGTGATATTTATGTTTGGCCTAAATAACTAAACTAAAACAGTCAGTATAAGAGTGTCACAGTGTGAGATCCAAAGGCTAGACACAATAAATTCAAGACTAAGAATCTCCTACATTATGCATGCTCATTCTTCCTTTTTCCCAGATACCCTTTTTAGGAGGAGTCTTTTCTAATCCTACACACAATAAACTAACTTTTCATATCTTCCAGGACTCTATTTATTCCCTTCAGACTTCTATCAAATGCTTTCAAAAAGTAGCTCAAGCAAATGTGCTTTGACTTCTGATTTTCACCTCAAATGGGTAGACAAGTTCTGTGAGGCCTTCACTGTTCTGTTCAGTTCAAGTCAGAGCCCTGTATCTACAGCTGTGGAATCTACCTGTTGCCACTGAAATGTGTTCCAAAATAGAAGTTGTCATTTAAACTTTCTATTCTTCTATGGTTTGCAAAGAAAATGTTCCAAACCTGAACTGAACGTTAACCAATGCAGTGATTTGGAGTGGGTGTCTGAGTTACCAAGCTCATGTGCTAATTCCATAATTCCAAACCCACCTCCCATGTGCCAAATGACCCCAGAATTTCTTACCTCATTGTCAAAACCTCCGGCTTCCCCTCTGACACATCTTTAATCCAGTTATAAAATGTTAATTTTTAGTTAGTCTATGGCAACTTGAAAATTAGAGTCTTAGAGGCAGAGTAAATTACATTGAATTTAATATAAAAATAATGAAAAAACCCTATATTTGTATATGAAAATTAATAATATAATTCAGTAAAAAACTTCATTGTCAAATTTACTGGAGGTTGCTGTGGACTTTCTAATCTACTTCATCAAAGCGCCTTAACTACAGAATCTTGCTGGAGAGCTGTTAGGTCCACCTTTCCACTGCGCCACTATTATGCTCACACCAAAGTTGCCCTAAAAAGTACAGGAACAGCTGGAGGAGGAGCTGTTTCCCCGTCACCAAGGCCCTGGGGCGGAGGAATGCTGTCAGTTCCAGCTGTGGCCCCAGGGTTGGCAAAGCTGTCCCCCATCCCTCGTTGTAATGAATCCCTAGCTATACCAAACAAATGGCTTGGATCCCCAGAGGTTCATTATAGCGAGGGTGTACTGTAATTTATGTCTGCACTATTTATTTATTCAGTTTATACAGTTTGCCTGTTAAACTCAGTATGAACATTCATATTGCAAAATAAGTGTTGCCAAAATAAGATTTCATATCCATACACATAGGAAAATCTCTTCAAGCACAGGTTTACAGCAAGTCTATAGTCTTTAAGTGTTAACATATTTGCTATTTTAATCTTCTTAATGGCTGAAACATTTGAGTTCTTGCAGACCAGTTTCTGTGCTGTCTCCCTCCTGTTCGATCACTGATTTACTTTCACTCCTGTTTTGTGTAACTGCACAAAACTTGAGTTTATCTTTTGCTAAAACAATTGAATATTATGCGGTGAATCCCAAAACTTCTTCCAGCAGTAGAGAAACCCCTTGCTTCTCTAAATTACCACACTGTCTTCTCTGCATAAATTACCATGCTGTCTTCTCTGCCCCCGAACCATCTGCACTGTCTCAGTTCTGACTGGAAAAGTTGCCTACATCATGAATTATGCTGTTTTGTAGTTTAGTGTTGCTTAATAGTTTATAGTCAGGAATATTTGGAGAGAACCATCTTTGTATATTAAGAATGAGTGAATGATGGAGGCCTTCCTCCCATAGGGAAATTTAACGGTGCATCACTGCAAGGGGCATGAACTAGATTACTGTGGGAGGGTCTAGAGGCTCCAAACGAGGATCAGAAATCCATTGTGTTGTATAAACATAGAGTAAAAGACAGTCCCTGTCCTGAAGAGCCCAGATTTTGGAAGCAGATTTTTTTTTTTTTTTTTTAAATCGTTAAAAAGGAAACAGACCAATTATAGTACAAGAATTAAAATAGGACCAAATCCTGCTTGCCTTACTTGAGAGATTAGTCCCATTCACTACAGTGGGCTAAAAGCCCATGGTGAGCAGGATCAGACTCTTGTGTTTAGATATAACAGAATGTATTGCTTGATCCTGCAGTTCAGGGGGGTGGGGACCGGGACACACTATCCTTGATGTAATCCATCATTTGAGCCAGTCAAGGGTGAGATGTTGGGTAGATGATTGTCATTGCCTAAAGATAGTCTTAGGTGGAGAGATTTCACTAAGGATGTACAGCTTATGCTCGATTCTCAGCTAGTGTAAATAAAGCATAATTTCATTGAAGTCAATGGAACTACACTGATTTGCAATAAGGATCTTTCCTTACATCTTTCAGTTAATATCGGCGGTGGCTTGCTCTTGTTTCTTACTGATGTACGCAGTGCGCCTAATTAACTGTCCTTCTCTTTTGATTTTTCTCTCTTGTAGGGTTACCTTGGGCATTTCCTGGATGGATAGGGAGGGGTCAGAACTGGCCCTATAATCATCTGGATGTCACTGTTCACTATATTGTTTCCTGGATTCTAGGCGCCAAGCAGTATCACAATTTGGACATTGATTATATTGGGGTCAGTAAAGTACACATCTCAAATTTCTGTTTTTGTCTGTCTGTCTGTTTCATAATTGTTCTTTGTTAGCCCCTGATTTTGATTTCCCCCTCCATCTCCCAATCGCTCTGTGGCAGCCAGTTAACAAATCATTCCATATCCAGAGCCTTATGTTTGCCTCTGGTTTCTGGTGGAACAGGCAGAAGTCACATGGGCTGGCACTGTTTTGCAATTATTAATGGGTGCAATGCTGATTTTCAACATTTGCGGGTTCCATACTCTAAACTGTATAAAATGAATGTCTGACTTTGTCTTGTTCAGCTTGACGTACATAGATAGTAACTCAAAATGTATTAAGTGAGGTTTGAAAACTTTCCAAACCTAGGTTATATGACCTTTTTAATACAGTGATGTGCTGACAATATTTTGCAAAGGAGCAACAACATACAAGTTCACCCTTAGCTTGTGATAAACTACATGATCCTGAGGTGCATGTGTCTGTAGGAGAGTAGAGGGACTGTGCTATTTATTTCTCATTTAAACAGAAACTTTTATAGCTAGAATGAAGGAAAGTGGCAATCACCTGAGATCTGGGGACTTTGCCTCCGATTTCAATGGAATTTCACGTTCCAGGACTTGGTTTCATTCACTATATTCACTAGAACTACTTCTAAGTGGAAGCTTCATTTCTGTAGACCATATGCTCTTGGTGTTACTGTGATATTTTGTGTGGTAGAACCCTTTGGTTATGGCATCTTAAAAATGGGGAAATAGCCAAGGCTGTTTTGAGCAAGAGAAACTCATTGTCAGTAAGCCGTTTTAATGATTTCATAGCCACCTCTTCTTCCCTTTAGTCTTGCTGCATATGTGGTGCAGATTAGGTACCATCAGTTGTTTTCTTAATATATGATGCATTTCAGAAGCCTTTTCAATGCATGTGTTTTGATGGATCTTCTAAAATGAGTCCAGTTATGTTAGAACATTCAAGTTCAAACCTGCAGTCATAGGCTTGTGTAAATGTAGAAATCTACTAATAGGCAAGTTATTCCTTTTCAGAAGGAAGTTAGGTAGTTATGTCTAGGGACCTTTGAACTTTATTTAAAGCTGCCGCCTTTAAAGCCAATAACAAAAACAAGTGGAGTTGCTCTCTCCTTACACAAGAATCTGAAGCCACAGAATTCAGTTATAATAGTGGCTGTATAATTTTACAGATTAAAACTTTCCTTTTTTGTATTGACGTGATTCATTTTACTCTTCAGACTAATACATTTATTTTTGAAATTGCTGTTTATGTTCTGTTCCATAGGTATGGAATGAAAGGTCATTTAGTAGCAAATATATCAAGGTATGTAATGATTTTCTCTTTCCCATATTAATTTTATGTACAGTGCTACTTTATGTTATCAGTATGTGTAAATGACTTTTGAAACTTAAAAATAGTGTTTTGGCAGTTGTATGTAGGATGATCAACTTTTCTGAAATTGACTGAGTTAGGGTCCAATTCTGCAAGTAGAACCCTGCGCGGGACTATTTTTTAATCCCGCTCCTGTCCTGCCCTGCAATACTCACTCCCATCCTGCTCCTGCATTGTTTCTTGTTTATCCTGTTCCCACTCCCAAAAACCTTAGATCCCACAAATCCTGCAAGAGACAGATTTCCCCATGCTACTAAAATCTACAACCCCCCCCCCCCCAAAAAAAAACAAAAAAACACAAAACCCAAACCATGGTTGGTTTTATATATAAATGGAATTCAGACACAATTGTTACCACTAAAAGAATAAAACAAATTTTTCTTAAACCATGTAAAAAATACTTTAACTCCTGGTAGAAAAAGATTTGATGTTTATTATATCTCCTGCTTAAATTTAAGTATTAAAATCTTTATTTAAAAAAAATTGCTTTACATTGCTGAAATTATATTTTTGACAAACTGACAGGAGATTTGGTGTTTTTTCCAAAAATTACTGCAGTCTGTTTCTCCTCCCCAGGCCCCCAACCCACCCGCAATAAAGTACATTTTACCTGCTCCCACTATTATGGCAGTGGGTCCTGCAGGACCTGTGGGATCCCAGTCCCACTGCAGGGCTCTGCCTGCAAATACACGGCCCACTGAACTTCTGTTGTCACCCATAGTGGTTCTAGGTGTGAAGTGCTTTCAGGGTCAGATCCCTCTCTTTGAATTTAATTGGCTGAATAAAATTGCTTTGAAGTCAGGACAGTATCACCTTAAATTGTGGATGGTAATGCTCTCATGTGAGGAAGTTTCATATGGATAGGCTGACCAGACAGCAAGTATGAAAAATCGGGACAGAGGGTGGGGGGTAATAGGCGCCTATGTAAGACTCAGCCCCAAATTTCAGGACTATCCCTATAAAATCGGGACATCTGGTCACCCTACATATGGAACTCTCATCCCTAATGGAAACTCCAGTAGACACCATTAGGATCCTTCAGCCTGGTCACTATTGATTTCTACTGGCTGCTACTGAAGGGCCTGTAGCCCTGTAGACATGTTGCATTGTTCCAAAACCTAGTTGCCAACTGGAACCAGTTGAAAATCTACAGAACTTCCCCTAGGCATGATAACATCATCCTTTATCTTACTACCACAGAACTCATATAAGGTTCTCATTATGGTACCAATTATAAGTTCTTAATGAAATGCAGAGTATGTTTAATTCTATTTGTCATAGTTGAACTGGAAGTTTTCTCACAAATACCCATGATACCTAATCACGGGAACTACATTACCACTTTCAAAGGTAAATTCTGCAGGAAGCCAAGCTTCTTCAACACCCATTTAAAATAAAGGCAAGTTGAAGTAGCTCAGCACTTCATGTGACAAGGCCTTGATGGTGACTCAAAACCAAAAACACTTACTGTTGACAGAAGATGTGCAGTAGGGCATGTAACGTTAAAGTGGAATTTTATTAAGGCAAAGAAACTGTTTCTACCTTAAATTCAGTTCTTTTGTTGCATCTTAATATTTCGGAAATAAGCGAAAAATTAATTTTAAATTTAATACCGAATTGTATTATCTGTGGAGTGACATTGAATTTCCCAGAGAAGTGAACAAGGATTGGATCCCAGATTAGATTACTCTATTAATTATAGAACTGCTATAGAGCTTTGTTTGCCATAGAGTTTTTGCAGTTTTTTCTACACATGATTATATTAGAACTGAGTCAAGCCAATAGTTCTAATGTATTTATTGGTAAATCTTAATATTGTTGGGTTTCATTCACTATATTGAGCCTAAACAATTGGATAGATAATTTATTATAGAAACTGTGTGGGATTTTTTTAATGTTGTTTTCTGACTTCCATATGTCTTAAGAAATTTCTGTGTTCAGAAAGTTAACACTTATTTCTCTGTGTTCTTCATGTTCACTCTCTTCTGTTATACAGAAAACATTCCATTTTTCAGATTCCACCTTTGCTTGCCATACAATTTTAAATCTTAGCAAAGCTAACCTGGTACTTCAGCAATAAGGGCCTCTATTCAGCAGTACAGACTTGCAGTCTTTGAGGCAGTTTTCTGGAAAAGCTTTGTGGCCGATTGAATTGTTTGACTTGTAACTTGGCCCAACTATATGAGAGTTCTTCTGAGCTAGATTTGGTTATCCAATACTCCTATTATTAGAAAAATGTCAGTTTACTCTGAAACCACAGAGTATTTTAGTTAACTAAGTCTAAACCTGGCCCCACTGATAGGGTAGATCACGTTAGTCAACATCACTCTCCTTAAGGAGGAAACTATCTGCTCTTTGTTCAGGAGTGGGGGTTGGCTTATTTAGAGCACTGCTTGCTCTTGGAAAACAAAGGGCATGATCCTGCAAGGTGCTGAGTGCCATCCATTGCCGTTTAATTTAATAGGAGTTGAGGATACTCAACATCTGTTGGGATTAAATCTTTAGGTACAGTGTCATCCATTGAGGAGGAGGATTTTTACTGTACCATATACTAGCCTTACATTTGCAGCTTCTCATTGGTTAGTGGATAGGCTCTGATTGGGTAAAGCATTCCTTAAACAAATGTCTTGTCCCTATATGCTGAATTTTGCCTGATCTGCCAGGAGAAGAGAGGATTTTGTCTCTACTTCCAAGTGGGTATTTAATTCTTATGAATAGGCCGTAATCCTACCATGTGCCAGAATAAACTAATGCAGCTGTAGTTTAGTTCTGTCCCTGTTTTAGTAGCTTGGCTTCCTAGATCCTCCAAATTTTGGACCAGATTCTGCCAGCCTTGCTCACCTTGAATGGTACCTTACTCAAAATAGTCCTATTAAAGTCCTAAAAGTAAATAAGTTTGGCAGAATCTGTCCCCATGTTATGCATTTGGTATTATCCCTTAGACCAGTGGTCCTCAAACTGTTTATCATTGTGGGCCTCAGGCTCAGAGCCACAGCATCCGCCACCCTAAAACTGCCCACAGTCCCCTATGCCCAGACTGGGGCCAGGAGTGGAGCCCTGAGCGTGGGCTGAACAACCGGACTCTGCTGCTGTGACATGGGGCCAGGACCCATGGCTGGCCAGCAGCTGGGACCCCCAGCAACAGGCCCAGGAGCGGAGCGCCCGGAGGCCAGCAGCCAAGACCCAAGAAGGAGGGCCAGGAATGGAACCCCACCTAAAACCCAGGGCAAACCCCTACTTCCCAGAGCTGCCCCCCAGGGCCGCCCAGAGGATTCAGGGGCCTGGGGTCTTTGGCAGCGGGGGTCCTTCCACTCCGGGTCTTCGGGGCACTTCGCCGAAGACATGGAGCAGAAGGAGCCCCCGCTGCTGAATTGCTGCCGAAGACCCGGAGCAGAAGAGGCAGCGGCGGGTCCTTCACTCCGGCTGTGTTCGGCGGCACTGAAGAACCCGCCGCAGAAGTGCTGCCGAAAACTTTCGTGGGGGCCCCTGAAAATTCTTGTGGGGGGCCCCGTGGGGCCCAGGGTAAATTGCTCCATTTGCCCCCCCCATCTATCCACAGACCCACTCTCCCACTCCCTGCCCCACTGCGGCACTTACTAGCCCCCTGATGGCAGGAGTGCTGGTGCAGGCTGCAAGACCCTATCTCCCCCTTAGCCAGCCCTGCCCCCTGCCAGATTAGAGCGGCAAATTTCAAATTTTTTTAGTGCAGCATTCCTTCCTTCTAGCTTTGGGAAAAAAAAAGTGTTGAATTGGGAGTAGATTTTTTTTTTGAGTGATAAGGAAAAAATTAGCTGTAGAAGTTCAGACGCTTATTCAAGAAATCTACTCTCTCTGTTCTGTGTGGTGTTGCACCTGTCTTACAATGGTTCTTTTTGCTTGTCAGCCATTTAAAAAATATTTCATTGTCATCACCGATATATGCCAGCCATAACAGGGAATTTGGAAGTATGTTAGTATAAACTTAAATTCTCTATGATCCTGTTAAGTGTGTTTTGAAGGCAGTCATGTTATTCATCTTCCCTCCTTAGTTGGTTACTGTTTCTTATATCATTAAATAGAAAACAAAAGTAAAGAGGCAGGACAATGTAACTCATATATTAAAAAAAAAAAAAATCAGAGGTTTAACAATCTCTGGGATAAGTAGTTACAAATAACAGGATTATTAACATCTTTTCTGTAAGGAATATATGATACTCACATGGTGATATCATTATATTTACCATGCTACTCATTTTGCCCACCATTCTGTGTCCCTGGTACTTATTCTGATGTTTCAAATCAGCATCTTCAACCTTTAAATTCGCACCTGCAGCAGCTACATGGAGAAGTTACTGCACAGGTTGGTGTGCACTGCTGTTCGCACCCTCCTTAGTCCGAACTTCTGGGCATTGTAGACATGTCCTTAAATCAGCTATCATATTTAAAAGTTCAGTTGTCACAGAAATAGTGTTCTTCTGGCTTCACTCTCCTCCTCTTGCTGAAAAAAAATTACACTGCTAAATTGATAATATTCCATCTTTGCTGAGGTAGAGATTTGTGATCTGGTATCTTGCAACAACACTTCAGGGCTTGAAATGGAAGTGCTGTACCAATTATTAGAGAAGATTCCTAGTGCTTACTCTAGCCCATGAAAGACCTGAGATCTGACTTTTAAATGTGCCATGTTGTATGTGTCATTTTCTGTTTCAAATGTGCAGAGCTCAGAAGGAATGCAGTTACTAATGAAGTCTGGCTTTACATTTGGAAGGATTAAAAACATTCAAAATATTTTTTTCTATAACGTGTAGCACATTCAGGGTAGGTGATGGTGTGATATACTGTTAAAGATTTTTATCGACATGAACGTGGAATGACTTCCCTTATGGCTTTTGCATTTGTGAGTAATGCAGCCTCACCTGATTCATGCAGATAAAACTTCTGTATCACACTAT